TCTTGTGTGTTTCATATTGAATCGTTTTTTTTTTAAATTTTCGTGTGGTTAACCTATAATTTAGCTTGTGTTTAACCCTTTTTAACACGTTCAACCTTTTTTTCACATTCATTTCACCTTTATTTCTCTTATTTTCGACCCTTTCCCCATTTATTTAACCCCTTTCTCTTGTGTTCAACCATTTCTTTACACTCAACCCTTTACCCTTTCTTCCTCCCCGCACTCATCCACCTCCTTACCTGCCCAAAAAATAAGGTAATTAGTAGAAATAAAACAAGACACGAAACATAATGTAATATATAGCTCTAACACGAACGACAACCTACGCTATTATGTAAACAAACTCTCGCTGTTATGTCCAGGGAGACGAGGAGGATTGACCCAGCAGTCTCTCTCTCTCTCTCTCTCTCACTATATTACTACACAATAAAGACTCGAAGCTCAAAAAATAAAATAAAAACATACCGCTCCGACAGACACCTTCATACTTGATGGGTGCTGTAGGGGGGGAGGGGTACAGGCCCTTATGTAGTGTGATGTGTGTTAAGTCCCCCCTCCCCTTCCCCTATCGACCAGCCATGGATTCAACGCTACACACGTCCTAAAATAAAACCTTTATAGGAATAGGTACAAAAATGGTCTCTGTAATAACAAGGTAGCGGGCACAATAAGGATGTATTATTCACATTTGGCATCAACTAGCTAAATAAATATATATGTACAGAGCTCAACACACGATGTACTTAAATGCTTCTCATGTATCTGTGAATAATTTCCACTGCAAACTGTAAGACAAAACATAATACTTCACACTCTGGCAGTTTGTCCCTCAAGCAGTTCATAACAAGAGAAATCCTATGTACAGAGCTAAAATAAATTCTGTACTGAAAATATTTTGTAACATTTAACACTACTGTATCCTAACTACTGGGGGGCGGGGCTGATGAACACTTCTGTAACCTCTATTCTGTAATTTTTTTCTTCTAACACTAACAAAATAAATATGGTATGCACAATAAACTAGTCCTGTTGCCTTTTTTTTTTTGCTCTAACTAACAAAATGAACATGATGTGCACAATAAACTAGTCCCTCTCTGCGGCAAAATTCCATCCACCTTCAACTCCTCTAAAAGGGTGACTTGCAACCCACCAATCTTCATTCCCTTTGACTTTGATGGTGGGAACGGAAGTTGAAGTGCGTCTGTGTAATGGACTCATGCTCGTGTTGGGGGATCTAATTAATCTGGACACCATCTCTACCCCCTCCCTCCCTCCCTCCTCTCTCTCCCTCCTCCCTCTCCTCCTCTCTCTCTCCTCCCCTTCATCTCCATACCACGAGTCCCTCCTCCCTCCCTCCCCCATCCATCCACCTCCCCCCATCCATCCTACCATCCTCTTCTTCCTAGCCCCCCCCTCTTTCTCTGGTTCTCTTCCTCTCCCACTACTTCCAAGCCATGCAACATAATTTCTTAGTCTTACAACACAATTTCTTAATTTTACAGTATTGCTCTCTAGTATTGCAACATAACTTCCTTGCCTTGTAAACCTCCCTTTGTCTTGCAACACCGTTTCCTAGTTTTGCAACACCGCTTCCTAGCCTTGCAACACCCCCTTCCCGTTTTGTAACACTGCTTCTTAGTCTCGCAACACCGCTTCTTAGTCTCGCAACACCACTTCTTAGCCTTGCAACATATCTTCTTACTCGTGCACGACGATACTTGCCCCGAGTGCATTGGAGTTTTGGAGGAGGGAATATTGGAACTTCCGCAGGTAATTTAGAGCCGACTTAATTCTTCAGAGAGGTTTTCCATGATTTGAAATCCAATAGAGTGATAGGGAGAGAGAAAGAGAGAAATGAGAAAACGAAGCGAGAGAAAGAAAGATGGAGAACTTAAATAAAAATTCGTCTTGAGGAAAGTTATCCTTGCATTGATATTCAAGCCAGTAACTGAGGCAGTGGAACTTAAGCTTCCTGAACGTATAATTTTCTACTGATATGAGTCTTATGAAGCAGTCTGGGGTCAGAGAGAGAGAGAGTTCACCTGACAGGGAGTATATTCATAGTAAGACCCTGTAATATTGGCTCGCGTCACCAAGTTAAAGACTGGAATGGTATAATTTACCCATCCATTTGCCGAGCGAGGGATGACTTAATAAAAGTCTTTAAACATCTCAGAGGACATAACTCAGTCGAGTGTTTATACCTGGTGTCATGGGTTGCTTTAGGCTTACCCACGCAACTAACTCCAAAGTTTGTTTTACCAGAGATAAGACGCCCGGCGAGGCATAACTGGGACATGTATTTTTCAATTAGTGTATGTTAACCAGCCTTTAGGGGGGTGGGCAGTGAAACAGTGTTGTACTGTTCATCGCTTCACACCCAAAAACCTCATTTTAAGTAGTATCCCCTGAGCCATGGGTTAGTTAAGAGACGTCGTCTCCATCCTCTCCCTCCTGAAAGGGGGCGGGACACCACACCACACAGAGTCCTCCACCGCTACTCCGTCCTGTGAACCGTCAGTGACACGAGACTAAGCGTGTTAACCTAGGTTGTTATCCCCGTGGAAATATCACGTGTGGAAGCCTGGTTGCGACAAAAGCAATCCAGGCTGGTCTATTGCACCTAGATGGTTAATTCAAGTCACGCTTACAGAGTCCTCCTGCACGACACCATGTGTGGTAACCCAAGAGTACTTTTTGTTGCTGTGGCCCGTGGAAAGAAGTCCTTGTGCGGAAGCCTGGTTGCAACAAAAGCAATCCAGGCTGGCAGTAAATGTATCACTTGAAGAATTAAGGCTCTGTTAGGTCATACCCATAGTAGAGTAATCACATGTGTTCCCAAGTTAAAATTCTCTTTTAGAAGATTAATTTTATTACAGCGTGAACGTGAGTGAATCATATATCCTTGCAAATTGTAAATCATTGTATGGAAGCTTGACAAATAAATGTAAATGCAATTATCTGCCCGTATCTGTGATCCTATCTTATTATTACTGAAGGTAATGACTGATTGGTTATGACATAGTATAACCAATAACTTAGATGGATGTTGAAAATTAAATGAATCCATTAAATCATCATTTATCACGTATAAATCATGGAATGTCGAGTGGTGGAGTGAACTTCTACGTGGATACGCCATAATCTCCTGTAAGTAATCAGTGTGAAGGTATCGAACTCTACAGTAAGAAATAAGAAATACGACATATTATTATCTTTATATAATATAATCCACTCCTACTACCACCGATTCATACCAAAACCATGACACCTGGAGCTAGTGGACGCCCAGGCCCCACTCAAGGTCACAGCTTTAAGTTGACGAAACCACAAGATTAGAAAATTTGTCAAGGTTTTTTTTTGGGGGAATTATGAACTTTTGGAATAATCTGTCAGAGTGTGAATTCATTCAAGACCAGATTTGACCAACACTGGGGCAGGTACAGATTCATTCCGGATCCAGTACATGCCCATTATTTAACGAAAGTGTGTAATAGTGACGTGACCGACCGTCCAAGCAGCTAACAAACAATGAGTGGTGAAGAGGATAAAGTAAAGTTTGGCACCCAGAGCAACTACTCCACATATTGACCTGATTTTTAGTGTGTCATCTGAGGAGAAAAACAAATATACTTCTGAGTTTAAAGCATTATCTATGGCTTAAGTTTATTAATTTGAGTACACACAATCGTACTTTCTGGCAGAAAATCTTTGTTTGCTTTAAATTTTATTTTACAACAAGTCAGGTGTGTAAAAGAAAACGAACTTCTCTCACATCTGGGTTATACAAGTCCAACCTAAACCAGGTCTGCGCAGATACCAAATGTATTTACTTTTGGGAGAATGATTTCACTCTCCTACCACATACAGTTAATCATATCTTTACAATTGCTACAACGACATTATAAATTAAGTAATAATCATTTAAAAAAATAAAAATACACTCTTTACTTCAGGAGACAACTGAAGTAAGAGGTGGCACCACTGTACATTGTTGCAGTGTGTGAGTGAGTGTTATCAATCTACTCTAAGTGGTCAGTGTAGTCAGTGCTCTCTTACAGTTCTCGTCCTATACCGGAGTAATGAAGATCTTCACCAGTTTCATTCTATTTGGGATAATTGGAACTTGTTTTGGTAAGTAACAATAGATATTAAAAGATAAACAATATTTATAATACTTGTTATTGTTTAAAGGTTCATTGTTATTATTATTGTCTAGTTACAGCTGTTATCACACGTAAGATAATGTCAAAAACAACTCCTCTCTCAGATGTTACAAATGAACTAAATGTGTATCATAATGTAACCAAAAGTATGATAGTGTTGTGAGGTTAAAGTTGCAGGCGTTTACAAGAAATAATTGGATTAGTTTAGCTGTCATGTTAGTGGTTTGTTTCACCACTGGTCTGTGTCACCGTGATCGGCTGATAATGGCTAACTCATAGGAGGACTATTACCTATTAATAAATTTATGGGGGTGTTTAATGGCCCCCTAAAACTCACTAGTGCCTGTGTTGGTAAATAAGATAAAATAAGGTCAATGAGGCATGACTAGGAACTTTTCATAGTACCAAAAACAACTATACAGTATTACAGTAAATTATATATTTTGTAGTTTAATAATTGACCTAAACTAACTTAACCAAACCGTTTCTGTCAAAGTTAGAAGAGTTTATGTAATAATATTATTATTATTAAAATTTTGGTCATAGTAAACACGGGGGCCCAGGTAAACTGGCTATAAATATTCAGATATATTTAAAAAATAAATTTCTTACCTCAAGAAATATATCAAATTCGGTGGAAGAATTATTACATATCGTAATAGGTAAAACTAGACGAGAGTGGTCCAGCCTTAGCGGCAAACTGATGAAATTTCCCAATACTCCTGTAGAAGAAAAAAGGTTTCTTACTTCTAGAAATATTTATGGTAAAGATTCGTTTTATGCCCAATTGTGGTTTATTTTGAATAACTGTGACCTTTATTTTGGGGTTAACAAAATAACACTAACCAACCTACCTAACCTGACATAAAATAATACACTCTGCACCCTATACCTATTGGTTAGCCCCTTGTAGGACTATGTGGGGCTCTCAAGAAAATGGGAATATAGGTTTAGTTAATTGTGTTTACAGGCTACGTAGAACAAGATATAGGTCAGATCTTAGTGACAGGTGCCTTGTTTTACAGGAAGGAGGCTGGATGACTGCCAGAATTGAGGTCATTGATCCATTTGGCAGTGTCGTGACTATGAACTCCTGTTTTTAGAGAGATATAAGCCATGTTGGAATCACTATGTATTCATACTCATTGAGAGGCCAGTGTACATCCCAGGTAACCTAGTAGTGGCTATAATTTATCTAAACCCTGCAGAAATTTTCTTGAGCAACAATAAGTTCAGAAAGGCAAAATTAAAGCCAGGTGTCACAGAAACAACTCGTTTACAGTAGACACAGTTCTACAAACCCCAAACCCCACCAGCACTTGGCCCCCACCCAGTAGAGTCATGCCCGTGTATGATACACTGGTCTAAGTCACTGGCTACATGGAGTTTATGGGTTCATGTGGAACTGAACTGCAGAAACATCGGTCCAACAAATTACCCAAAAGTACCCAAAAGTATATTAAATCAGGGTAAAATCTTAACGAATATATGTTTTACATCAATAAAACCTGATTAATAATGTTTTCATTGAAATGTAGTCAAAATAATGAAATAATAAACAGCAAAAAACGCTAAATTCCAAAGAGTCACCTATCCAAAATGGAGATATAATTACCGATGTTTCTGTTACTTTGGGGCATTTAACATAGCCGTAGGATTTACTTTTCGTCAGGTTAGGTTAGGTTAGGTTAGCAAAGTGCATCACGATGGAATTGAGTTATCTCCCTTGTTCACGAACTCTTTGGAATTTAGCGTTCGCCAATACTGAAAGTTTTTTGCTGTTTATTATTTCATCTTACAAATTATTTTTAAAAAATTACACTAAAAATATTATTAGACATGTTTTGTGTATGTATAACAGATATTAGTTAAGATTTTACCCTGATTTAATATACTTTTGGGTACTTCTGGGTACATTTGGGTACTTTTGGGTAATTCGTTGGACCCCAGAAACATAGCAACAACTGAATTCTTAATTAAATGAATGAGTATTCCGTACTTTAAAATATTTTGTTACGTGTTTCATATTATCATACACAGTGATTGCCACTAAACTGTTCTCAATAGACAGTGCATGACACAGTAGTGTACTGTACCTGTATGGTAAAGTCATAAGATTCTCCAAATAAAGGACTAAATGATCAGTGAATTGTGGTTAAGGCAGCTACCCTGGCTGCCATATAAGGGGGGGGGGCACTTCACTCTTTGTTTTCTCTCAACTTGTCTTAGATATACAGTACTGGCACAGGGAACCCTTTCTCTACTAGTACAGTACAGTACTACTCTAAACTGTGTGATAATCTTATGACTTACCACACCAGATGCTGGTGAGGTGCATCTTTTAGTAGGCCTCATCATATCTATAGTTATTTAGGTAAGAGAGACCATGCTAAAACACTTATCAGGTACAATAATATAAATTTACTGAAAATTGAGATTTTCAGCTTTAGTCACAGAATGATCAAATTTTCTTGTTGACATGTAATCATATAATATGTAGTTATTGTCCTATCCTTTTTCTAGGCTGCAGTAAAACTTATATGCCATCCATCACTTTGTATTTTTATCTTACAGGAGCTGGAGGTGCAGTATCAGGCCAGGGCGGCAGTGGAGGTAGGTTGGAGGAGAAACATGTCACCTATACTGGCAATCATTTTGTGGCGGAGGGAGGAAAGTTCTCTGTTACTTGTATTGTTGATATTAATGACTTTCATCACTGGACGTTCAATAACAAACCCGTGGTGCCGGGAGAGGCGGGGTAAGGGACTTGTGGTTCAATCGTGTTTTTCAAAGTTGTGATGACATAATATCCTGCAAAATGACTACATTATTTATAAATAATGCTGAATAATAATGCATATAGCTGTTCTTCTAGTTAAACTTTGTAAACTTTTTAAAAATAGAAAAAAGTAACTTATAGTGAATGTTTTCATATTTTCATGGTAAAATATGTTATCCATGAAATCAGATACACTATGATAGAGGGACCTGGACGACAAGGCTATATTATGAGTCGGTTGACCGTGGTAAGGGCTCATCCCTTCCACGCTGGAGAGTACAAGTGCACGACCCAAAGCAATGAGGCGCATTCTGTGTTTGTCATAAGTGGTAAGATGATACTGTAGAAGACCCTTGCCAGCCGGTGAACATCATTGGCTGTATACATTGCACTGTACTGGAAGCCTTAGTTACATATACACTGTACTGTATTTATATGATGCAGTAATAAGAAGATGATAAAGGCTGGTAGTGCTTGTGGTTGGTTCCTTGTACTGTACTGCACAGGGTAGTTATCATTATGCAATGTTGTACATGTTGTGACATTTCTCTGTTCTTTGTTTGATCCGTCCAGTAACACTTGTGGAACAAAGTGTGGGACTGTAGTACACAGGGTGGCAGTGAGACAGCTCGCAGGTAGGTGATGATGTGCAGAGAATGAAAAAGCAGTTTCTGTACATAGGTGCCATATTAGATTATTTTGACAAGTGGAGGGAGAGAAGTGCTTCCCCAATATTTTCATTTTACATCAGCGAGTTTAACCTCCTGACCACTATCATTAATGTGAAATTTGCAGAACGTAAATCGCAAGAGGATGTTAAAAACTAACTAACGTTAACACGGAATATTGGAAAGCGCATCATTGTAAATCAGGGGATACCTGTATGGTACTTGATGTCTCTAGCATATTTGATGAAGATCTTGTGTTGTATGTTCAAGCAAGTATACACATGTACAGATATAAACTTATATAGTCTGATGACAGAACCAGTGGTACAGTTACAGATGACCTTATTATTCTTTGTCTTACTTTGAGTTCTTGTAATGCAGAACATAGAAATACAGTTACTGTATAGTACATTACAGTGTGTCATTGACCCCCACACAGCAAAAGACAAAGGTACATAACCAAAGTCTCTTAACATTGTGCTTAATGAACACAACACAGGTACATGTATATTGAACATTCTGGAACCAGTGCATGCCCAGTGTTTACCAACAGTACTGTAGCTACATGCAGAGATGGCTTTAGTGCTTGTAAATATTCACTTTTAGTCACCTTGCAGGAGTACATTATATGCTTGGTAGGTCATTAATATATCTGGTGGTAGATCAATAGCGGTGCTGTGTCTATCATAAAATAATCTAGATGGAAAAAGTATAATTTAATTTTTAAATTTTGATCCACACTGCTATCAAATTTGTTCATGAAAAATTTCCAGGTTACCTGTAACACTGTATATTTGTTCTTTGTGATTCAACTGTTCCAGAGTCAGAAAATCCTACACAGTAATACCGTATAAATATATTACTGTATTGTATTTACTGTAAGCTATCATAATACAAGTAAACATTTTTGTATTGTATCTGTATATACTGTAAGCTGTTGTAATACATTAAAACATTTCTATGTGGCAGGATCCCTCACAGAAACAGAAGAAACACGTCTGCTTGCGGAAGGTCGCCCCCTCATGCTGACGTGCGACTATAATACTACCAACACTGACACTGTATGGTGAGTCTAGAATATTTCCTATAATTGTTATATGTCTTTGGGAGAGGTTATGATAAGGCCTCAGGAGATCTGTACCTAACGAGAGAGGCTGCAAGAGACTACAGTATAGGCTGTATATAACATAAGAGAGCTGCCATTAGGTTATATAACAGTGACGATGTTTTAAAGTGTGGTTCTAGTTTCATTTGCTTGGGTCTTTCTGTTGAGATAGCAAGTATCAGAATCATGTACAGTCGGGGTCAAAAGCTCACTCCCTTCCTCCAAAACTGAAGCAGCATCGATCCCAAACAAGATTAAACTGCACCAGAGGACAGTCAGGGTAAGCAAGTTCAGAGATTTATTCCCTTGACTCAGTTTCACCACAAGGAGCGACCTCTTGTCCGCTACTGTAGAGTATAAAGTGCGGCTACAGACTTGAGGTTAAAGCACCTTCCAATCATCCACTTTGCCCTTTCAGTAACTTCTATAGTATTATCTCATATTCAACAGGAATTTCTAAAGTTAACATCCACTTTAACTGATCCTAATATTTTTATTATTATTTACAGTTGATTCATAATTAATTTTTTCAACCTTTTCATTGCAGGATAAAGGATGGAGACGAGGTTGTTGAGAGCAATCGCATCAAATTGTTTAAAAACAGTACATTGTACATTCCTGCCGCCACTAAACAAGACCTGGGCGAATACCACTGCTCACTACCAGATGAACAAGAGCCCAAAGTCTTCAATGTTGTCGGTAAGACCACGTAGTGTACAGTAATGACTGTTTGTGTATACAGGGTGTATTATGAATTATAGTTGTTTGTTTTTTCAGAATAGAACCTCAAAATGTTATTTCAGGGGTTTAGACTAGCACTAGCCTGCCTGTCAAAATGGGTATAATGCATGTCTGACTGATAAAAATTCACTAAGCATTCACCTGATTGTTGGTTAAGATAATACTGTACTGTAGCATAAAGCCTGCTAAGTTTCTTTAAAGACAAGTAAAAGTAGTTTACTGCCACTGCTATACACATGGTGGTCAGCCATTGTGGGGAATTATTTATGTGCCAAAAGTGGGGATGGTTGACTGGTTTTGTCCTTTCCAGAACTGATTCTTCACAAACTGCTGCCCAAGTCAACCACAGTGCTGGAAAATGACAAGCTCTCTCTCACCTGCCTGGTGCAGGGTGACCCTCTCCCAACTGTTCAGTGGCTCAAAAGTGAGTACAGTACAGTACAGTACAGTACAGTACAGTACAGTACAGTATAGTATAGTATAGTATAGTATAATACTTGTTAACAAGGTGAGTGAGAAGTATGTTGGTCCTGATGTTAACAGGATTTTTTTATCTATAAAGTAAATATTTATGATGATAATGTACTTAAGCAATGGGCTTTACTACAGTGTAAAAAAATCATTAAAAGATAAACTGTACATCAAAGTGGAATACCCGAAACATAAGGGAAGCTGTGATCAGCGCCCAAGACCTTCCATTATTGGATGTAACATGCACATTATCTTCCACCCATCCACCTTTCTGCTGAGTGGTTTTCTTTCATGTTATTCACTCAATCATAGTTCAGAGGTGTATGTATTCATGCTGTACTGTATAGTGCAGGTAAGTAGATTTTATAATACAATAATAATTATTACAGTATGGATTCATTCTTCCTTTAAAAGTATTACACAATTATTTACATCAGAATACTCTGTTCACTTTGATAATGAAATAAATGGTAACTTTATAGATGCAACACCACATGCTGCCCCCATCCCCCTGGTTGAGGGAAGTGCTTGGCAAATTAAGGATTGGGTTGGAACTATTGTATAAGCAATATGACAAACAATTTTTAAGCAATATTAACATTTTGTATTTGTTTAAAAGACTCTTTTTCTAATTTTTTTCATCAATTGGCAGATGGTGAACCAATTGAGAAGTCCATTAACTCATCAAGATTGGTGTTGTCCGAGAACGAGTACCACGTTCCTAATGCCAGTCTCCTGATCAAGCCTCTGATGAAGAACGATGATGGTGACTATATCTGTCTCATCACCCAGTTCGCTATCCAGCACAACACAACCACTGATGTACGAGTCAAAGGTAAATACAAACACCGTATCTTGATAACTTTAAGATACACTTTCATTCCCACTCTGTCTGTGTACAGTATGGAGACGACCAATGTGTAAGTTTCTCCTCTCCAAGTGAAGAGAGAAAATTTCCTTTGCCTTTGCAAAATTTCCAACTACTGTACAGTTCTGTACTGTACTGTACTGTACTGTATTTGAAAAAAAATATCACAATCATTTAAGTTAAGTTCAGTTGGCAGGTCACAAGTCAAAAGATTCTTTCTTATATATCACCAAATTTATGAATGATAATTAATTATTCATTAAATTATAAGATCATTAATTCTTTTAATTTTACAATGGGAGTTAGTACTGTACAGTAGTTACAGTGTGTGTGTGTGTGATTCCTCTTTAGAAATACTTATTTTGTAGAATTTTTCCCTAAATAATTTCTACAAACCAATATGAAACCTTGTAGGTCACCTATTGATACAGTATGTCTAAAAGCATATATGACGTAGCTAACACACTCAGTGTCTTAAATAACAGCTTCAAGTTCCCCTATGGGTTTAATCTCATTATTGCATTTCACAGTTTTGTGGTATTTATCTTAACTTCATTGTCTCTGTTACCCTGAAAGAATAACTGTATTATTTGTTATTTTCTTACAGATATTTATGCTGCGTTGTGGCCATTCTTGGGCATTGTAGCCGAGGTTGTGTTGTTGTGCACAATTATCTTCATCTACGAGAGGCGTCGCATCAAGCCCAACTTTGATGAATCCGACTCTGAGCAGACTAATGAACAGTAAGTGTATTCTGTACAGAGAACTTTCCCCTCTGTCTCTTATCCGGTACATTTTAACCCCTTTACTGTGGGGACGCTACTTGTAATATTTTATTTGGCTAATACCCATGTACGAAACGATTTTATTCAGCGTAGGAGATATCCCTTACACAAAAGATTAGAGTTTAAACCAACCAACAACACCAGACCTTATCTAACTTTACAATAGATGTTTTGTAAGATCATTGGGATACAGTGGGATTGGTCCTGTTGCTTTGCCTTTCATCCACAATGGTTAACACTCGCAGGGTTAACAGTATTGTGTCACCAGATTTTCATAAGATTTTGCTCTGCACTGTATTGGCAAGTAGGTAATCCTTTTATTTACTGTGAACTACTTAGGGAAAATTTCTAAAGACTAACTAAAGGAGCCACACTATTCATACTTTATTGCAACTACAGTATATATTATGCAATAGTGACATGATCTTTATTTTTCAGGAAGAGCAAAGTTGAAAACAGCAAGGAGGTTGATGTCAGGCAGAGGAAGTAGGGAGACGTTAAGAGCTAAGAAACATCATCATCACACTTGTGCACGGTACTATAGATGATAAAAGAGAGAGTTTTCCCGTCAAGAGTTCAACAGTCCTAAGAGGCTCTCACTGAATGCAAGCAAAATGAATAGGGTAGATAAGTAACATTTGGGAGTGTACCAAGAACAGCTGACTTGTGTTTGTGTGAAATAATAATAATATTGAATAAAAACTCTAGATTTTGCTTTTAGGTGTTAATTTATAGTCACAAATTTGATTTTTTTACCTACAAAAGATGGAAACATTATGAAGGAACCTCTAAGAGAATGTGTACATGTGTTACTATGCTGTATGGCAGGATAAGATATGTACACAGTGGTTTCATCAGTGATATGTCCTGTAAATTTTAATTCATTCACATTTATATATATTTTTCAATGATAACAGTACAGTATGGCAAATACATCCTATGAATTATAATATGGCTGCCAGTTATTCATGTTTGCTTACAGTAGATCTAACCTTCATAATGTATTGCACTTATTTTCTTTTAATGTTACAGCATTACAGGTAATTTTTCTTATAACTACAGTTCCTGTTTATAATTTGTGTTGGTGACATGTGCACCAACATTGCAGTTACAGGTACATTACAGGTACAGTGTATATAGTTTGCATATGATTTCATATTTTATTGTATTTGTGGATTACAATAGAGCCAAGTTGCTGCTCCCATAAACAGTACCAGCAAAGTTAAGAAGAAAACTCAGGATTTCGAGATGTAGGTTAGGACAAATGAATAGCAGGGCAGGAGGATGAACGCTAGATCCGGGAACCAAGCAAAGTCAGAGTTTAGAAGGGCTGAAAAGGAAGAGTTCCAGAGGCAGATTGCAAGTGAGGTCTAGTCAAACCCAAAGGCTTTTTACCATTACGCAAAGTCGAAAATAAAAACGCGAGTAGGCATATTGGACCTGAGGCTTGAAGATGGTAGTTATGCAGATTCTGACCAGGATAAGGCGGAGGCGTTGAACAAATTTTTTTTATCGGTTTTCACAAGAGGATGTGAACAATCTTCCTGCATTTGAGGAAAGACTGTGTAATGGATAATTGTATTTTTATTTTATTGGAAAAGTAAAATTGTTGGGGAATATTGAAGATCGATGGTGTTGGATCCTGGGGAGTTTGTAGTTATGATATAAGCACTACTTGTTGTATGTAATGTTTCACAACTGTACACATTTATCTTCAAAATCACCACAAGGTGTTTAATTTGAGTTGTATGGTGATAAAAGGTGGATATAATGCTGGTAGATGGAATGTGATATATTAAAGCTTGTGATTTATCTTACATTAAAAAAATGTAATATGATTATTTACTTAGAGAAATGATGGCAATGGAAAAATAACATGAAGGTCAGGTTGTGGAAGTTAATGTAATTAACAGTCTCTGAATAAGATGGACACTAAGGCAATATTATATTTTTTTGCTAATACCTGTACTGTATACACTACTGCAATAATTTACATGGAATGTAAATTTCATGTTTGGTAATAGTATCATTATTGCATTAAGATTACTGCCTTCATTGATGACTGACTTTCACTGCAGTATTATCAAACACTCATGAAAATTTTCATGGTTTGCCCATCTTTAGTATATGAGTAAGATTACATTATTTATTTGTTACTCACACCTTGACACTAATGCTGATCAGTCAATATATTGCTTTGTATCAGGAAGTAGATCATCATATTTTAACATTTTTGCAATGCTGGTGACACTGCTCACAGGACACATCACATGCCCATGGCTTCAGTGAGTGAGTACAACCACCTCTTTCATGTACTGCAATCCTCCCATATTTTCTGTGTGATTGTGTAGTGTTGCACATCATAAAAGGAACACAATATTCACTTAAACTAATAAGGCAAAAACTAATACATTTATCAGGTTCACAAAGTTTTAAACACATCTACAGTCATAACTTTTTCTGGTAATGTAATAACTGAATTCATGTAAACAAGTTTCAATAAAAATTAATAGACTGATGTCACAAGAAGCAGAATGACCATATCTTACTGAAGTAATTACCCTGTCAGTGTAGATTTAACATTCTCACAACTGTGATTAAGGAATAACTGGATATGTGGACTTATTTTCAGGGTTATGTGCAAATGTGCCTTCTTTCTTGAGTGTGTAGGATCTTTTAATACACCTCCTACTTTTCAGAGATACATATATACTGTATATATATAAATTCGATGGTTTCCTTAAATTTTATATAAGTTGTAAGTACTTTCTCAGATTTAGATTGAGGTAAAATTACTTTCCTCATCATTCAGAGTATTTTATTTCACTTTATTAACCCTTTGAGGATGATGATTTAACCCCCAGGACCCAGAGGGTTAAATAAAGTTGTTGATTATGTGTTAATTACTTGTACTTCAGCTGATGGTATAACCTTTATGCAATAGACTTATCTTTCTATATAATCCGTTAGATGGGGTTTTCTACTTCTAAAAAAGGACCCTCAATATAATGGACTTTCCTCTCCACATAGTCCATCAAATAAAAGTTTCACTGTACTGTACTAGTTATAAATCCTCTATAGAAAGTATCCCATCAGCTGTAGTTCTTTAACATAGTTTTATTGAATATGTCTTTATTATAAATGACTAAAGTGATTTTTGTATAAGCTAAAATGTACATTATTTTTAGATTTTATTTTGCATTTTATTGTATTGAAGTTATTTACATTCTGAATAAATTTATAGATACATTAATACCAAGCAGTTTTATTATTGATTTAACCGGACCATTGTGTTGAATGTAAAAAAAAAAAAGTAATGTAATCTTCATCTGGGTAACATTTTATTTATTTATTTATTTTTATTTTTTATTTTTTTAAATATTAATTTTGCCACTATCAGGTTATTAGCTGTTGGGGCAGAAATGACGGTCAGTCGCTTGAAACCACACAAAATGCTCAAGGAAAACCAATTACATTGTTAATAGTTTCTATGGTCGACAACAAACGAATCTTTAGCTACCTAACCTAACATAACCTAACCTAACCTAATTTAACCAAGCTAATATACTGTACTGGGTTTCCCAATAACCCTGAAATTCATTATTCTTATAAAATATTTGCTAATAAATTGTAAAGTAAAACTGATATTGCATAATTGACTAACGTTTCATTGTGATATTTTTGTTATTAAAATTTCTATAGCTAAGGTTAATTTCTTTAATATAACTTTGTCCTGATTTAAGTGCATGATAATTATTCTATACATATTATTATTATTATCAACAGAATCTCAATAATTTTATCTTTACCATCAATAATTCAGACAATTCTTAGGCACTTTTCTTCTATGACGTTTCCCACGCAAATTACCTTTATTATTATTATTGTTAACCATTTAATACTACGGTAACGCCTTTAAACTCATTCAAAGTCATTTAATTCCTGTATTTAATCTCATTCATTAAACTGTTTATATACGTTTTCTTTTCTGGTGCGATGAAAGAAAATGGAGCTTTTTTATGGGAGAACTTCTTTATATTTTTAATATGGTTGTAAAGTGTAGTAATTATTTTCTTCTTCTTTTCTTACAAGGATTAGCCTACCAACCGACCCATATCTGGGCCTGGGGGCGAAAAATCAACCATTTAAAAAAAATAAAACTAAAAGAAATCAGGATGAGAAACGATATACGGTATATTTTGTTTTGTTAAAGTAAGAGTGTGGGATACGAGTTATTGGTTCACACTCAGGATGGGATGGAGAAAGGAAACTCACAATGTGCTCTCTGTATACATGTTGTATTGGATGTACAATGCAGCTTGGTGCTGGGAAGTGGCAGCGTGATGTAGAGAGAGCTGGTTGGTGAGGATGCTCAGAGGGGGACCAGCTTGTGGGTCGCCATGCTCGCCGGCGGGAGCGAGGCCGTCAGGCAAGAGTGGAGGAGGAGGTGCTGCTTGCTGTGGCTGTAGCTAGAAGAAGGGACAGGTCACCACGAGGTCAGGTCTTATATAGCGGAGGTAGGCGTGGCTTAATAGTTGACCTCCGGCATGTAAGGCGGTGCTGGTTGACCTAGACCACAAGGCATACACTGGGGAATTCGCGGGGTCGGCTACTCAGCGACAAGCGTTTGTAGAGGAGGATGGCACTACAATACTCCCCTTCCCCTCCGGGCGCGGCGGGAGGCTGGAGGTTTGCAGAGTTGCGTGCCACATGTGAGGCAGAATGGGCGGTGCATGCCACATGTGGGACATAACGGCGAGGGAGTGGATGAGCCGGCCGCTAGGGGGGGCAACTCTGTCTAGATACACGAGATCTGTGGGAGAAAAGAGGGAGAAGGAGGGTTGTGGAGGCGATGAATGTTGTGCTTCACTCGCGACAGGTACAGAGTCGTCAGATGCGCCTGCTGGGGTGTGTGGGCCTGGGTCAGGAGCAGGGGCTGCATCAGCAGGAAGAGAGTCAATAACAGCAGCAGGGTGCATGACAGCAGCAGGGTCCACGAAAGCAGCAGGGTGCAGGACAGTAGCAGGGAGTACCTGATGGAGAAAAGAGGGATGTGTGGGTCCGCGTCAGGAGGAGCGGCAGGGGGTACTGCTGGGCCGGGGGCGGCGTCTGAGGTAGGACGGGTGTGTTAGGGTTGGTAGGACGTGGTGCTTGGTGCAGGAAGAGGAGCGGCTGTCTGCTTAGAGTAGCAGAGCTGCTCTAGGGTGTCTAACCTGCGGTGTAGAGACAGTAGTTGTAGAGCCGATGAGAGCTGCCTCTGCGTGGGTAAGCCAGTCTTCCATGTTGCTTGAAGACGGGGAGAGTGATCAGTTTCTCCTCCATCCTGTGTGAGTGCGAATCTCCGGGGGTCACCATTTGTAGGGTTATGAGATATTGGGTTCACACTCAGGATGGGATGGAGAAAGGAAACTCACAATGTGCTCACTGTATACATATTGTATTGGATGTACAATGCAGCTTGTTGCTGGGTAGGTAGCATGGTAATAAGCATTGAGTAGAGAGAGCTGGGTGGTGAGGGTGCCCAGAGTGAGGGCAGGCGGCTTGAGGGACGCCAAGGTCGCTGGCGGGAGCGGCAGCCGCACGGCTGGCGCGGAGGAGGAGGTGTTGCATGCTGGTGGCACTGGGTAGAAAAGAGGTTGGTCACAGCGGTGTCAGGCCTTATAAGGCGGGGGTAGGCGTGGGTAGATAGTTGACCCCCACTCCGTGGGCGGCGCTGGAGGCGTAGGCTGGGGAATTCGAGAAGGTTCGGTGCTTGTAGGGTAGGAATCCACTACAATACTCCCCTTCCCCTCCTGGCGCAGCGGGAGGCTGGAGGTTGGCAGAGTTGCGTGCCACATGTGAGGCAGAAAGGGCGGTGCGTGCCACATGTGAGGCAGAACTGCGAGGGCGTGGATGAGCCGGCCGCTAGGGGGGAGGGGCAACTCTGTCTAGATACACAGGATCTGTGGGAGAAAAGAGGGAGAAAGAGGGTTGTGGAGGCGATGAATGTTGTGCTTCCCTCGCGACAGGTACAGAGTCGTCAGATGCGCCTGCTGGGGTGTGTGGGCCTGGGTCAGGAGCAGGGGCTGCGTCAGGAAGTGTGTCCATGACAGCAGCAGGGTGCATGACAGCAGCAGGGTCCACGACAGCAGCAGGGTGCAGGACAGTAGAGTACCTGAGGGAAAAAAAAGGGTGTGTGGGGCTGCACTCAGGCGCATGGGCCGCGTCGGGAGCAGGGACTGCCAGGCAGGAGCGGTGGAGGGTCCGCGAGACACTGCAATCTAGGTCGGTCACGTCTCTGTTAGGCACTGTAGGCACTGTGGGCATGTACTGGCTCTCTTTTAGGCACTGTTGGCAATCATAGGCGTCCGCAAGACAATTTATAATTACATTAGGATTGCGAGGAGGGAGGGGTAGAAATGGATCTTGGGGCCCCTAAACATCCACTTAATCCGCTAATAGCTACAGTTGGTTTTGGCTACAGTCATCGGTATGTTGTAGTATATTTACCAACCTACAGGTAGTAGGTAGTAAACAGCTATCAAACAGGGAGGTACTGAGAAGATATTGGAAGCATAATGTGTTGTCCAATGGTAGACCCTGCTGCCAGATGTGACCTAGTCCCAGGTTATTGATCTGACTTTTTGCCCCATTTACACACAATTGCAGGGTTTCATTAGTTTCTCTTGCTTACACAACACACCAATTGTTCACACTCTTGATCTGCTTTAGTCTTTAATTTCAGGATTTATTTGTGGTGCATTTATTTCTTTTTCTTTTTTCTTCACCCGCAGGCGAATAATAATTAAAAAAAAAAAAAAATAATAATAATAATAATAATAATAATAATAATAATAATAATAATAATAATAATAATGTTCATTCAGTGAAATCATTATACAAGTTTACAGTTGGTTCCACATGTATATACAGTCGACACTACATGTATACAGTTCAGCATTTGTACAGAAAACGCAGGTATACAGTGTGTACAATATATAGACCATGCATTTACAATACTCTATACAATCTCTAATACACCTCGACTAAACAGCCATACAAACAACAATAAACAATTATATATTTCAACCAAGAATAGTCAACTGAGCCATTAAACGTGGTGGCGATTCTTCAAGTGAACCGGCCCTTAACATCAAAGTCGTGTCGCGGTTTTGTCCGAAGATTAAATATAACTCGTGAAACATTATGAGAGCTCCCTACCACAAGGCAGAACGCACCAAAAGTTTAGCCAAAGTCAACAGGGAATTATCTATATCAATTCCGAGACATGGATCTGTTCCTTACGACCAAAACAATATTGCGTGACGTGACATAATGTGGGGAATATTAAAAAGGAGTGGGTGAGTGCCATGACAGGTGAGGTATGATAGGTAGGTAACATGACAGGTGAGGTATGATAGGTAGGTAACATGACAGGTGAGGTATGATAGGTAGGTAACATGACAGGTAAGTAACATGACAGGTAGGTAACATGACAGAAAAGTAACATGACAGGAAGGTAACATGACATGTACGTAACATGACAGATAGGTAACATGACAGGTATTGAGGTCACCTGGAAGCCACCCTCCTACCCGCTCTCGCCCGAGACCCGCCAGAGTTGCCAAATATACGATAATTATCACACACAGACGATAACACACGATTTTACGTATTTGTGCGATATTTCAGCATTTTCGTACGATAACTTCTCCAAAAAAATAAAAAAATAAAATTTTCTATCTTTCTTAAAAACATCTGAGTCAGCTAAAAGCGGATTTAATTGATCTCGGTTGTATTTTGTCACGATTCACAGGTCCAAGGAACTGTTTGTAAGAGAAGCGACTAACAGGTCTAGCATACACCTGTCTTACCCTACCGTTAGTAAACACATCTGACTCACTACAGCTGATTCCTTTTTATTTGAATCTATTTAATAAAGATCCATGAAGTACTAAAACATACAGTATATGAGCGTTGGTGCTGCAGGTCTCTAAAAAGGAAAAAAAATAAAACACGAAATATTGTAAAAAAAAAAAAAACAAGAACAACAACAACAACTTAGGGATGCAGTATTGTTCTAGGCAAGCATTGTGTGTGTGTGTGTGTGTGAGTGTGTGTGTGTGTGTGTGCGTGTGTGAGAAAGATTATATTCCTTGTGTGAACCAAACATTTCATCTTTTAAAATAATATAATGAGTTCCAATTACTGTGAATAAGCCAAAACTTAAGATATAAAAAAAATCTACTGAGGTGGAAAATATATAAAAAAAAAAAGGTAAATAAAAGATAAATAACCAATGTGTACGATTAAAACGCAAGAGTTGTTTAATTTGACAAGGTTCGGTACGATAATTTGGGCGTATGTGATTCTGATAACACCATCACCTTACCAAGACACCGCAGTCCACATTCCCAACTATACCTCAGTCCTCTGTTAACACTCAACATGGACTCAACACCCACTGAGACGATCACCCTAAACACAGAAGGTAGATGAAGAAATGTTAATATATAGTAGTGAAGAATAATATGGATAACTTACTGTAGCTTATTCATATTATCAACGTATACATTGGTGAAAAAATAATGTATTCATGTTGTACAATGGGTAAAAATATGTGTACTGACGTCATACACTGGTGAAAAATAACCACTAGCATTATACATTACTGAAAAAAAAACCCAGATAGTGGGGGGATTTTGTATTAGTGAAATATTATACATTGGTGAAAAAAGAGACTTCGTGTATTGGTAGATAATATATGAATGAAAAGCTTGGGAATATGAATAGATAAATGGATGAATGAGTGAAAGACTACCGATACTGCTGCCTGATGAGGTATACCAGACAGGTGAGGTACACAGGTGAGGTATACAGGTGAGGTATATCAGACAGGTGAGAATGAGTCCACAGGCAGGGCGACTGTGTGGATACTACAAACTGGAGCCCAGGCTAGGTGTCTAGTCTCTAACTACGAGTACCCTGGGATCGAACCAACGACCTCTGGGATAGGAGGCTACTATCGTATCCACTTGACCACATGGATAGATAATTATATTGTGATGGTTGGATGAAAGGTGGTTCAAAGATAAACGATTTCTAGCCGTGTAATATCAACAGACAGACAGACGGATGGATGGACAGAAGGAAAGACAGACAGTCAAGACATAATACTTCAAACTGGTAATCGTAAACACTATAGAGTATATTTTTTATTTCCAGGAACCAGTCGGGGGGAAGAGCCGGCCAGGGAGCGGAGACAAAGACTAGAAAAACAAGTAAGAATCAAGTGTCAACAACAGCTAGTTTCCTGTACACCCTATATGGGTCACAAGAGGGTGTTTATCAGATCCCAAGTTATGGAAGATTCTTGGGATTTTATTCAGGTTAAAGTCACCATTAGATTTTGATGAGTAGAAATTAATTACATGGTAGTAAGCTAAACTAAAATAACTTAACCTAACCTAACTTATTCTAACCTAACTTAACTTAACCTAACCTAACTTATCCTAACCTAGCTTATCCTAACCTAGTTATCCTAACCTAGCTTATCCTAACCTAACTTAACCTAACCTATCATAACCTAATCTAACCTAACCATGTCATATCTCCATGAGGTACTGTTGACGATTTTGGCATCTGTAACCTTCGTGGCCCAGGGAACAACACAGACCTGGCCCTCCCCGGCCCTCTACGACCTCGAGAACAACAACCAAACACTCTACTCCACCACCATCACCCTCACACCTCGCGAGAAGGATATGACAGGTGAGGAGGGGGTCACTCTCTCTCTCTCTCACTAAGGATATGACAGGTGAGGAGGGTCGGTCTCTCTCTCTCTCTCTCTCTCTCTCTCTCTCTCTCTCTCTCTCTCTCCTATCGGTAATACAGTGAGAAATATCTTCTCACCGTCTGTCTCAATCTTTCTCACTGGTAACATATTATTGACAAGGAAGCGAAATAAATGTCTCTTTATCTGTAATAGGCCCCTGTCTCATCAACAGAACGTATTATATAAATGGGTCAATACATCTGATATTATATTCAGATTCACCACCCTGTAACTTTCCACTGTCTATGAGTAAGACATGAGATGGGCACGTGAGCGGGCAACTCACCCAAGAGGGCGAGACCCCCAGCTCAGCATACCTGTAAGCACGCACTGCGATGCCCTTGAGCTTGAGTTGCTCACCTCAACTCATATCGTAAGGACGTTACCTAACGTTTATTATACATAAACGCCGTCCCTTTCTCATTCACTCCTAGACAGTGAGACTTACGGTTGATATACACTCAGGAATTATATATACAACCTTTTATAATAAAACAAAGGAACTACCGTTTGGGTTTCGTTACTTAAAACCCAAATATAAATATAGTGAACGGACTGGTTAATTGGACAAGCAGCCGATTCATATCTCTCTCTATCTCAGTCTCATATCTACGAGATAAATCATTTATTCTGATTTATTTATTTATTTTTTTTTACCAGGAAGTCTATGGTTCCTGGGGTCGCTGGGTGGCTCGTGGGCGGCTGGATGGGCGGCGAGTAAATGTGGTCGGCGGAGGAGTATTCAGCTTCTGGCTCTCCCCAACGTTTTGGGGTGGCTCTTGGTGGCTCTGGCTCCCATTCCATCACTTATGCTCACTGGCAGGTTCGTATCAATGCTCAATGCTCACCATGTCTAGTTTTAACAAGATTGTATGTATGTATGTATGTATGTATGTATGTATGTAACTCACTCCCCAAATAGTATCTTTACGCTTTTGAGTGAGACAATATGACACAACGGACGAAGTATTTTGACAACCCTACCGAGACAACAGGAGTCACAGTGTTCATTGTGAAATTCATGGACCCCCAGTAAAGATACTTTTTTGGGAGTGTTACATCAAAGTTAGAGGATTGAGGAAAAGCTAGTCAGCTATCTCTAACGACAAACTAGTCAGCTATCTCTAACGAAAAACTAGCCAGGTATGCAACGATTCTTGATTTCATGATTTTTAAGGTAACAAACAATTAATCTCTTTCTCTTTCTCTCTCTCTCGGCTGCAGGTTTGTATTGGGTGTTGCGTCCGGGGCGGGAACAGTATGTCTAACAGTATATATCCTGGAGATAGCAGATACCGGGGTTAGAGGCACACTGTCTGTTATCCCCACCTTGGCTTTGATAGCTGGTGGACAGTACGCACTCTGGCTGGGGACAACGCTTCACTGGTACCATCTGTCCTTTGCCTGTACACTACCGCCACTTCTCCTGCTGGGGATTTACTACATATTACCCGACACCCCGTCTTATCTGTTTATCTGTGGGCGTTACGGCGAAGCAGCAGCTACACTTAGGAAATTACGAGGTCGTTATGCTGATATTGAGAGTGAAATGGAGGACATGAAGCGAAGTAATGAATCCTATAGGAAGAATTCTGGTTACCGTGAGTTACTGAAGGTGAAGGTGGTGAAGCGCATCGCCGTCGTCATGATACTCTTCGTGTTTCAACAGTTTTGTGGTAACTTCGTGATGATTGTGTACACAGCCCGGGTATTACAGGCAGCTGGGACGCCCTTGGAGCCAGATACAGCTAGTGGTATAGTAATGTGGGCGAGGGTGGCTGGTATAATAATGTCATTCTGTCTCTTGGATCGTCTTGGTCGTCGGAATTGTCTCGCCGCATCTCACGCTATCAACGCCGCAGCACTAACTCTTCTGGGAACTTATGTTTACCTCAACCAACATGACGAACAACAGTCACCAGAAACATCCCTCAGGTAAGAAATAACTGAAATAGCTTTTAATTATTACATATTATCACCCAACTCACCTGGATAACGTTAATTAGAGGATAGAAAGGTAATATCCATAAGAAATACTCACAGGAAAAAAATCCCCAAAGGTCTTGTTCTCTGAGTCCTAATACTGTGTTAATTAGGTCAAGTGTGGTTAGGTTAAGTTAGTTAAGGTGAGGTGAGATTTTTGTCCCTAACCAAACGACCCTACCCAACCCTAACCTAAGTTACTCCAAGACAACCTTAACCTAAACCTAACCTAAACCAAACCTAATAGTGACACATCAACAGCTGGGTGCCGATGGTGTGTGTAGCAACGGCGCTGTTCGGCTCTGATATTGGTCTCCATTCCGTTCCGTTCATCCTTGCCGCCGAGTACTTCCCGACCAACATTCGCACCCACGTGAGAGAGAGAGAGAGAGAGAGAGAGAGAGGATGTGCATGTATTATGTACGCAACACTGTCATAAAAAAACACTCATAAATAATCCCTTAGCAACAGTCACTAACATTATCTCTGTTTCTCCCTTGTGTGTGTGTGTGTGTGTGTGTGTGTGTGTGTGTGTGTGTGTACAGGCAACATCGGTATGTATGACGTGGTTTACCGTGATGGGGTTCGTGGTCATGCAGCTCTACACACTCATGCAGGAGGCGCTGACGCAGGCCGGCCTCTACTGGTTCTATGCTGGCTCTAGTCTCCTGGCCACGGGATTCACCTTCCTCGCCGTCACAGAAACGATGGGCAAGTCTATGGGGTAGCTGCCTCTAAGGGGGTAATTACCTCTAAGGGGGTAATTGATTTATGGGGTAAATGCTCGAGTGAAATAATGAATAAAAACATAAAAGAAAAGAACTTGATTGATTAACCCCAAGTGTTGTCACAAAATCGGTGTTATAAACAGAAGCCATTCAGTTTCGTTAATAAGTAATGCGCATACTCTACACTATCACCAATAAGTATATACGCAAATACGGTTTCATATTCTATACGGGTATATCCCAAACATACATTCTTTCCTAACAATTCGGGTTCTTTAAATCTAGATAAGTTACCCCCAATATATATATAATTTACGGTGGATTTTTCTATGAATTAGTTTAGAGGGATAACTCTTCTGCTTCTGGGGGTTGAGGATATAAATTAATGAGCACAGATGCAATAACAAAGGTGTTTAGGCGCATAAAACAATAGAAGTAATTATACTATTCTATCTTTATGATGTTTGAAAGATAATTAACACCACTAAAAATAATAATAATAATAATTGGCACGCAGGTTTACAAATAAATATAAATATATATAAACTATCCAGGAATACAATTCAGCTCGAGAACAGCATAGACAATTATTTTTTTAATATTTTACCTTTAAAACATTTGATACAGTTTGAGTTTGTTGGGAGTGTATTCAACCGTGTGAGAATATTCATACGGTAGGACACATGGACCATAATGTATACGGTTGGTTTATATTCACCAAATGCCCGTATATACTGTACAAACACAGGCGCCGTCTATTGACTATATATCAATCATTGGAATGACAGACACAGGTACAACCAAAATATTGAAACCATTGTTACTACTACTACTACTACTACTACGAACGACTACTACTACTACTACTACTACGAACGACTACTACTACTAC